TAAAATTTTTGTATTTTGTCATGCATTTTGTCATAGAACTAAAAAAAAGAAAAGAACATTTTTGTTCTGTCATTTTGTTTCTTTATTAATCTTCGTACAGGTAATTGAGAAATAAATACGATATACACATTTCTTACCTTTTGCTTTATAAAAGAAATTAATCTTTTTATAATATTCTATAAAAGTACGTTTTTTGTGATGATCTTATTAGTAATAAACTGAGTTCGAATAGTTTTGACAAGAGTGTCGATTGACATTCAACATATACCATTTTGTATACATAATATTTTTGATTTTCATGACAAATTAACATCTAAATTTACACGAGTTTTTAATCTCACACAGTGAATTATTTTCTACTAATTTTCTCTCTCTGTACATATTGTAAGTAACTGGAATTAAAATCCAATCCTGTAATTATATTTGCAGCATATCCAATACGAATTGCTACTGATTTGTTTTAAACTCAATTTATCGTTTAAAAACCTTTTCAGTTCATATTCTTTGCTCTCGAACTTTATTAGTATCACAGTCTTGATACACTTGATCCCATAAATTTTTTCTGTCTTTTCTATATCTTAGATTTTATTTTGTATAATTTATTTTCAAAATTTCTTCATTATGAAAGAAATGCAAATAACATCGACAGACGATAATCTATCGTCTTCAAAGAATAATAAGAATAAATTATTTAAACATATGTATTCATATATAAAATATAGATTTGATAATCTATTTACTCTTGGTTTAATTTTTATTATTCCATTATTAGTTACTATAGCTGCATTTGTAATATTAATCTTTAGTGTCATTTATTATTATACTGAAGAACCCGATAGTTATGAAGATGCATTATGGGAAACATTTACACGTGTACTTGATCCATGTGCAGCAGCCGAAGATGAAGGTTTAAAACATCGGATTATATCTGGAATTGTTATACTTTGTGGTCTTGTTATAATTGCAATATTAATTGGTACAATTGTAACTTTTATGGATGAAAAATTAAATGAATTAAAAAAAGGACATACTACAGTTTATGAAAAGAATCATACGAGTAAAATTAGATAAAATATTTAAAGAAGAAAAAATTTCTTTCGTTTACTTTTTTAGTAATTCTAGGATGGTCACCAAAAATATTTGATATTCTTCATGAATTAATTATTGCAAACGAAAGTCAACGTAATCCTTCCATTGTTATTTTAACATCAAAAGAACGAATTGAAATTCAATATTTAATTAAGAATAAAATACATGATACAAAAAATACGAGAATTATCTATAGAAATGGTGATCCAATGTCGGTATGTACAAAACTTTCCTCCATTATTCGTTTATCTTGTAAATCTATAGTGTTATATTTTAGATCAATGATTTAAATAAATTAAGTATTAATCAAGCACGATCAGTAATTATATTGGCATCAGAAACAAATCACAATTCGGATATTAGAATAATCAAAACAATACTAGCTATTAGAAATAATCCACAACGAAATAATATTAATTTTCATATAGTAGCCGAAATCAAAGAACGAATTAATTTAGAAGCAGCAATGATTGCAGGTTTGAAGATTTTTGTTTTTCTCAATGTTTAGAAATCATTTTTAGGGTGGGTGATGACGAAAGTATCAGTATTCTCGAGTAGCTTTGTTCACACAAATGTTCATTCGTATTTATTTTTTAGGAGGAGATGAAGCAATATTTGTCTACGCTGATGAAATAACTGCACGTATTATAGCTCAATCATGTCGACAAAGTGGTTTAACTGTAATATTAACAACTTTATTATCATTTCAAAATGATGAAATTTATTTTAAATATGAAAAGGCACTTGTTGGTAGAACATTTTATGATGCGATATTTTCATATAATAAATGTTCAGTAATTGGATTAATGTTAGCTGATGGAACAGTAAAATTATGTCCTCAATTAGATACAATAATCAATATGGATGATAAAATTATTGTTATTGCTGAAGATGATGATAAAATTATATTATCATCTGATAATTTATCACGTAGTACTCGATCAGTATCAGCATCAACAATTAATCATAACATAAATTCACCATCACAACAGATGATTAGAGGAACAACAAAAAAAGTTGAACGGAATCTTATACTCGGATGGAATAATAGAGCTCCATTGATTGCGAAAGAATTGGATACTTATGTTGCTCGTGGTAGTGAACTACACATATTGACAGATTCGGATAAAGTAGCATCTTTTATAAACGAACAATTAGCTATCGAATTAATAGAACAACAAGTATTTGTATATTTTGGAAGTGTAACAAATAAATATGATTTAGAAAAATTAAATTTATTTTCTTATCATTATGTTATAGTATTAGCTAAGGATGAAAGTGGTCAAGAAAATTTAATTGAAGAAGCTGATGCTGAATGTTTAATTTGTTTGTTATATTTACAAAATATTATTGATGAATCAAATAAAAAAAAGACATTTAATATCGTTATAGAAATGGTTGATATACGTAATCGACAATTAGTAAATGCAACATGTGCTGATGATTTTATTGTTAGTCCAAATTTACTAGCGAAATATATTTCACAATTATCTGAAGATAAAAATATTAAAAAAGTTTATGAAGTTTTATTATCAGCTGGTGGTGTTGAGATTTCTTTATGTTTAGCATCGATGTTTGTTCCATTAGGAATACCGATTAGTTATTATCAAATTTTACAAGAAACATTAAAATATCAATGTGTAGCGATTGGTTATAGATTAATGAAATATTTACATGATGAAACAAGATTTTACGGAATTGTTTTAAATCCAAATAAACAAGAAAATATTATATTTTCACCAAATGATAAAATTATTATTTTAGCTGAAAACTTTATTTCATCTACTTCCACGGTAATTAATACTATATTTTGAACAGTCGATGATCGTCCCACTAAATACAATTATATTCTCTGGTTTTTTGTAATATAAAAGTATTGAAAGGAGATCAATTCTATTTTGCTGTTATTTTTGCTATTTGCTTTTAAATAAATTGATGTACTATTGATTGTAAAGTAACATTTTCAGACAAAGAAAATATGCACATGAGGGAATTTTTTAATGGATTCAAGTAGTTCTTACTGAAAGTGAAACAAGCTGCTATGATGGATAATTCAATAAAATTAGTTGAGATCTAGTCGAATTAGATATCTCAAGACCATTGACTGTGTCTTAGATTGAATTAAAAGTGGTTATAGTGAGTAGAGATGTGCGGATCTCATTGAGAAGGAAAAAGTCTACACCCACACACAACCAAATATGAGATATTCAATAAAAATCATCTTTTCAAAGTGAATCTTATCAGACATAATCAAACAATCTGTGTTTTGTTTCCTTTTTCACCAACTTTAATAGAGATTTATGCGGTATCGTAGTTTTTTTATGACTAGAAACAAGATTGACAAAGAAGACTTTTAAAAAATTTCATTTTGTAATATTCCCATCTCTATGAGCCGATTGATTTTTTTTCAAGAAAAGAAAAAAGGATTCAGAAAGTGAAATTTTATATTAATCGAAAACGATAAACGCAATATGCAAATCAAATACTTCGCTCTTTTCTAATAAAATGCCTTTAATCCCATTATTAGTTACTCATCATTTGCAATTATCACAAGCTTCGCAATAAATTATACGGTTTTTGTATTCACGCATGCATATAAAGGGTTGTCTTGATTGCTGAAATGATTTCATTCAAAACAAAAATGCATTTGGCTATTGTTCGTCTTTTCATTGCCCTAGGTGTTGCTCAGGCATTATGCGAATTAAATTTTTGTTTTAATCGAATAATTTAATATTTGCAACATTTTTTGTTCAATATAATTAGGCTGGTGATGCTGTCACTAGCGAGCATTACCCATGTGATTGCTTTGAAACCGAGGAAGTTTTGGGTAAAAAGAGAAAATGGTATAAGATCGAATTACCCAATGTAAATCATGGCTATGCAACCGATGACAACTGTTCGGGCGACGTTCCGCATTGTTAATGTTGGTATCTACTATCGTGGCATTCTTGATATTTACTTTTGAGCTTTTTTTGTTAATCAAAATGCTTCATAAATACATAAATAAAACGAGTGTCAGATCATGTCTCATTGAGAAAAAAAGTCTCTAAGAGTGACACGTATAAGAGTGAACACTATTAATATAACCAAATAATGATAAATATTTACTGTAAAAGTTGTGTTAAATCTATCTATACATTATATTGTCATTTGTATGTAAAGCTACATTTGAGTAATGTTGAGGTTTTTTTATATTATATTTTTTTTCTATGGATATTTAATGGTTTACAATCGCTTTTCTATGATACAGATCCATTTGGATTTGATTGTTTACATTATTTTTCATCTGAGTCAAACTTTTCTGAAATAGTCAAATATTGTATTCGTCCAAATAATGATAAGAATTTGACGACAGTAATTCAATTTTTTAATATATATCTGATCAATATTTTACTTTCAATGAATTATATCATCTGAATGTTACGTCATATGAAATTCTTCTAGGGTCGTCATTGATTGATGTTGCTGAACAATATCAATATTATCTTGATCGACCATTTCAATCTAATTTATCGAATGAAACTTTTTTAATTGTACACCTCCATGGTTTGAATCTCGATGTCAATATTCATTAGAAATAAATGAAGATGAATTAGTCTGGAATTCATTGGAAATGATTTCAATAGACAATATATTTCAACAAACGTGTTACATTCTTTTAGAAGGGGTGTGGGTGATAGTCCGGGTGTCGGCGCTTTTATTTTTATTCTACCCACACCCTCAGTATCGTTTAATAACGGTATCTCAAAATTTTCGACATTTCTCACGATCGATATCATTTTTTTCGATGAATTTTTGCGTAAATATTTATTTTTCAATTCTTTTTCGTTCGACAATTTTTTCTTTGACATATTTTCTTTGATCTTTTCTTTTCGACAATTTTTTCTTTCTGCGTTTGCACTGTAAATCTTCATAAAAATATAAACCTCATGATTAATTAACTTGTGGATTATTTTAATATCGTTTAAATAAATTGAGGAGTCTGAATGCAAGTATCCTATTTTATCCACACCCGACAAAATCATGCCATGTCGATCTCTCCTATATATTCAGTTAATACGAGCAATATAAATTCGAATAGATTTTTCTATAGTCGAAAACTGAAAAATTATGAGCCTTCAACAATACTATCTGCGTTAAAGTCAGTCATAAATTGTTTAATACAAAAATGATTCGAAAGGATGGGCGTGGGTTAGGAAGATAACCACCCACACCTACACCCTCGTGATCAGAAGAGTACAGAATACTTATGAATAAATCCTTTTCTTCACACAACCCACAGAACTATTAATTACAAAATCCACAATTACAAATTATACTTGTTAAAACTTGAAAACACAGATTGACTTCGACATTTCTTTCACCATACAATATCCTGCACTCTTCCTTTGGTTCGATGTAATTGGTGTCAATGGTAGATTCAATCAGAATGATTTGCATTTATTTCAAACGAATAAAACAATTACTCTGTATAGGTGGACAAAAAACTTATAAAATTCAGCTTTCACAAGATGTCAAATTAAGATTTTGAAGTGCTTCCATTAGAAATAAATGAGACAACTGAGCTGAATAATGTCATATTTATTGAACTGATTAGTAAATGAATTTTAGAGATTTCAAACTTTGGTTTTTTTAATATTTGTGAATAAATAATGAAAAATCGTGATAAAGATAAAGACAATAAAAGATTGCTATTTCTACTGCAACTGCACAATTTGCAATGCATTACTTTACCTTAGGAGATGGC